GGGGGGGGGGGGGGGGGGGGCATGGGAGAGAAACCTATTAAAAACAAGCTTGTGCTTATACACCATTAAGAGTAGCTGAGAAACGGAGACATCCAGTGGAGACAAATGTGTGATTTCCTTAATAATAGGAACTAGGGGGCTGTAAACATGTGGTGCATGAGCTCGATTGCAACGTGTACAGTGTGCAGAGAAAAAAGAAGGGGGCGAGGGAAATGTTGGAGTGCATAAGAGACTAAAGGATACAATATCATGGGTGGAAACTGAGAGACTGAACAAAACAAACCCTTGCTCTCTTTTTGTATACAATATAGATGCATAACTCGTGGCAAAACAAACCTTCAACTATGTACACTAACACAAAATAAAAGAAAATATAAAAGGGGGATGCCCCAAGTTTAAAGAGGGGAGCCAATAAAAAAAGGAATCCTGTCCAAAACTTATGCAGAGTTGCCCTAAAACGAAGGCACTAGTTTGCACAACTAAGACTTTGCCTTCTCCAATCAATGTTCTGAATGCATTTTCTTTTTTGGCAGCTCTAATACTTGATAATTTCATGTTTGCAGGACAAGTCAAAATCAACAGATAATTTAAAATTAGTTTGCGTTGGAAACGCAGACAATGGGTTGCCTAAGAGTCTGTTTGGGTGAGAGAGAGAGAGTTGAAATCATTTTATATCCCATATAGTCCACAATTAGGTATCCAGATCCATCAAGTACACTTTCCTTCCTGTAATTTTCCCCAAAGGTTGTGTGTTTTGCGGACACCTTACAGGATAAAGAGTGATCATTTGACATTTTGCAATTCATTCGTGGTCATAAATTTGAATTTTTTTCCCCTTTCAGAAGCTTCATATGGGTTTTCTTCAATGAAATATTGAAGGCTAGTATGCAAGCTAGGGAATCAATAGAATAATACTATTTGCTACATAATTCAACAAAGAAACTAAAACCTAAAATTAAGCAGTTCCAAGATGCAACAACCATATAAGTGAAAGCTTGGCATGATGATGAATTACATGTAAACTTTTGGTAATAGTAGAAAGGAAGAGCCAAAATTTACCAGAGGAGGCTGAATAACTCTCTCCATTCTTGAACATTCCATTGCTTGCCTATTACAATTTTATCAACATCAATGCACTTTCAACCACCACTTTCAAAATCAAAGACCTGTCTCTCAATCGTCAGATCCTACTGATTATAGATACCATCATTACTGTTAACACACGAAATTCATCTCCAAAATCAAAATTCAATCTTCGAAATTCAGATGAAACGTAAAATCGAATTCACAGAAAAGTTATAGTTCAAAATATTGATTGGACATTTGGGAGATCAGAGTCTCTCCATCTCACAAACCCACTTCAAATGATCAAAAACTCTTCTAAAAAACACTTCATAATCAACCTAAAACCAAGAATCGTCCCTCGGAATTGAATACCCAACTCAACAATCACAAGGTAGTTCCAGTAAGAAACATCAAAAACTATAGGCCAAATGAGACCAACATGATCAAAACAACATACTAATCACCACAAACTCTCTCGATCTCCAAAACCCATTTCCAAAATCAAAAACCCACATTGAAAAACCTCACAAAATTCGAGAGAGAAAACACATCACAGCAAAATCAATCTTTGAAACATCCCTAAAGACCCAAATGCGAGACAGCAAGAATATGGGCAAAGAAAAAGCACCGAAGAAAGTCTCCTCCCTCCCACCATTATAACCTTGAGTGGAAAAATGGGCCCATAAACCGAACGGCACAACCTACCAAGCACAAGAAGTGTTTAAGAAGAGATCAAACAGTGCGAGAAAAATAGCGGCAAAGCAAACGTATAAACCATTCATAGGGCGGAAAGAACAAGAGAGGTGGTGTAACATGTATGGGTGTAACAGTGTAACTTTTATGGCTGGAGGTATTCCACCCACAAATATCTTTTCCCCCCAATTTAATTTTTTTGATATCAAACTATTAAATTTATTTTTTTTATATCCATCTCATTAATAACTAAACTATATGCTATATGCTATATGCCCCTTTAATAAATCAATTTATCTTATATATTCTTGCAATTAGATTTCATTCATTATCTCTTCTTATACACTCACAAAAATATTATTTCAATATGTATGCCAGGAATGATATATAAGTTAATATTGTTTTTTGATTTAATTTTATGTGTATTATGTGAATTTTTATTATTTTTTTTGTATTTTAGTATCTCTGTTAAGTTTAATAATTTTTAATTGAGAGGTTCTGTGTGTGTGGAGGGGTTGTTAAGATAATTAGATTAATTAAAAAAGTGATAATAAAGACTATTTCAATAAAAAAAATTATTTTATTTGACACATTTGTGAATTAGAAAACTTCTTTATTTTTTTCTTTGTTTTCTTGATTTCTTCCCTTGATTTTTATTTTTTTATTTTTTTGGGTTTTAATTGATTTTTATTTCTTGTTTTATTTTCTTACTTGTTAAAGGATTGATTATAGCATGTGATGAATTTAGTTATTAATGAGGTGGGTATAAAAATGATAGACTTAATAATAATAAATTAAATAAAATGAGAATAAATATTTTTGAGATGAAAATAGCCTCACCCAACTTGCATGAGATGACAACTCACCGGTGTTTTAACTATGAGTACCATAAAAAATGGTAACAGCTGCAAGTTATAATTTAGACGTTTTGAATTTTAATTTTTATAATTATTTTTAATTAAATTAAAAAATAATTAATCAAGTGTGTATAAACTAACTAAAACATTTGATCATTACAGAAAAAAAATAACTCAATAGCCTCTTTGCTACGGAATCAGAATAAAGAACGAGTCAAGCATTAAAATTGGATGATAGCTAAAGCCTAAAAAGAAGATGAGTCTTTACTCCTTTAAAAGGAGTACAGAGTAAGATTTTTTGGGATAAATTATATTTACCTCCCTTTAAATTTCTCTGAATAATGATTAGACCTCTCATATTTGTCAAGTACCCCTACTCCAATAGAGCAGATTATGGTCATTTCATTTTTTTGTTATAAAATATTATTGTTCTCACTTGTGCGGTGCACGAGACTTATAACCTTTATTAGTTTTTCTTAATCACTCTCCTTTTTTTAGTCTTATATTTGAAAATTTAGATAAAAAATTATAAAAGATTATTGAGTAATAAAAGTAATTTCTTAAATATGTTTACATAGATGGTGTGTAGTTTGTGAGGAAGAAGTGAGCAGTTTCAAGTAACACATGTCAAAAATATGATTTGAAGAAATTTTAAAAATATAATCAAATAATTCAAAGTTTTATAAAAATAGAAACTATGGAGGGAAGGCTTCTCAGAAATTCTGCATAAAAATTGTTTGTTTCATATGTATAGATAGATGGGGGTAGACATAGCTAATAAAGTAGCAAAATGCTATTTATTACTCATACTTGAGGGGTCTGATTCTTATTTGGACAAAGATTAGGGGAGATGGATGTGATTCATCCAAGATTTTTTGTAACGTAATTTGTGTGGGATCCACGTTTCCTCAATTCCATCTCATACCTCGAATAAGCTGTAAAAAGTCTCTACTGTGTATGACCCACCATGTCATACTTTGACTTGTTTTACTGCACAAAGGGTGTTCCGGTAATAAAACAATTGGGTCCCACCAGAATGTTTGCTAATGAGTGATGATCCCACACTACAGTCTCCTTAAATAACAGGGTTAAATCTACAATACTTCATATGGTTGTTTTTGAATGAAATGACCTTATAATTATTAATTAAAAAAATAATAAAGTTACAAAAAAAATGTACACATGGTACATTTTCATTGGCTAACAAATAAAAATGCAGGCATATTTTTGTACCGTAAAACAATATCTATGTGGAAAAAAAATGATTGACGCCATTGGAACTATTACTGAATTCATTTTTATTTATAGTGATCAAATAAATCATAGAATATCATACTACTATTAAAAAATGTACCAACATAATGACCAATTATAGTCGCTAAAGATTCCATGAATGACATTTGACCTAATGATATTCGATGTGAAAAACACCAACTTGGGTCGAAATGCAACGGATGAAATTCAACCCAAAACAGTCGCACGATGATAATCATATAGTATAGCTGCATGACTCGTGGGAATGTCGAGACTTAACTGCATATGAATTCAGAGGGGTATGATGCAAGATCATCTGGGAAAAAATGACATGCTATATGAATATGATTAATTTTTCCTCACCGGGACCTAATCAATAAGAAACTGATGTCATTTCAATCTATTCTAATGAGTACAATTGACAAGAGGTTTGTGGAGCTTTTGTGGATGTGTAAGTGCAAATTATAGACTGATTAAAAAAGAATTAGCTTTCTGTTGTTAGCACCAAGCCGCGGATAAAATGCATCAATTAACACTACACGAAAACTCGATCCAGCTGCCAATGCTAGCAACCATCCATAACAGGTACACAAACCCTTCAACTATGTCAATATGGACATGGAATTTTCAGCAAAAGTTCAGTCTGTACGCAACAGATCAGTTTGTTGCTTCAATGTACCCAGCACCAAATATGGCAGTATAACCATGCAAGCCATGAACAGGGTGAACTGCACGATGGAAGTTTGTGATTAGGCACTTGCCAAAAGTAAAATGCTGTAGAGCAACAAGTAAATGCATGATTAGAAGCACAAGAGATGTACCACAAGAGGCAGGCTCAAGAAACCCCAAATTGGCCACAAAGCAAAAGAGAATCTACATCAGAGATCATAAGAGTAGTAAGAGCATTCTCACAGATGCAACCAAAGAGAAATCAACCCTAAAATAAATGGTACGGCACTATAAGTTTTCTTACAAGGAAAAGGAGATGAGACCGAGTACGGTTATAAATGGCAGGGCAGCTGTATTTGAAAATTCCCACTTCTCACTGGTCTTCCGGACAGCCCATGCTAAAATACTTGTATACAAGAAGAAGATGATGTTCAAACTGATACCCAAAACCGCAAGGTATAATGGTATTCTGCATGAGGAATATAACCAATGGTAAACAATAAGAAGCAGAAAGATGCTCCTTGGTTCATATCACACACTTTGAAATGTGAACATATGCATGAACAACAACATGGACATTTTGACAAATATATTTTTGCGTTGTTGGCAAGCTAGAACTTAATAGATTGTACAAGACAAAGGCAAAGGTTTGGAACAACAGCATAGCGTACTTGCAAAGCCTCAAGCAATCCTAAATCAAACTATCAATGGACGCAGTGTGAGACAATGCATGAAAAGCTCTAAAACAAATGCACACAGGATTCAAAATAATAAATTCTTTCAAGAAGTTTCAAAGTCGGATGAATAATAAAAATTGCAAAATTAAACATTCAAAGGATATGCCGCTATTGCCAATAAATTTGTGCATTCTTGTAATAGAAAGATATCCTTAGATCAAAAGAGGATTTGATTACAGTAATCTATTGGCTCCCTTTATGATGAAGCACCAAAAGAGGATTCGATGATTTCTATGTTGGTAAGTCGCGAAAAGTTAGAGCCAATAAAAGGTCTTAAAAATTCTCAGTTTCAGCAGCCAAAAATGAAACATTTTTCTCATTTTCCTAAAAATTGCATAGCTCAGCCAAAAAACCCAGGATAGTTGTCTGAACTGAGGCATCCATCTCATTTCTAAACCATAATCTAGGGTAGGAAACTTTGTGAGCCACACTCAACACAAGCAGCAAGGTGAAAAGACATGTTTTGAAACACCATGTGATAATGATTAAAGGCCAAATTATAAGAATGCAATTATTGTTCTGAAGTCATATAATTTGCAGGATAATGAAAAAAGGAAAGCTATGTAGCATGAATTCCTTTTTTTTGGTTCGACAATCCAACATTCTGCAATCTAGTTTTAAAGCAAAATGTCTCTGGTCCTTAAATTTTGTGTATAGATAAGAACTCAATCAATAAGCATTTTCCATTTATTTAGAATAAAATAGCAACAATGACAAATTTAGAAATATAGAGCCAGAAAGTGTTAATTTAAATGAACCTAAAAATTCACACGCGTATATCAGCACACACCGCAATATTAACACATCACAGAACAGCTATAAAAAACAGATGAATCAAAATGGAGGTTCCCCAGCGAGAATCCAAATACAGAAATACAGAGGAGTCAACAGAATTCTTGAACTTAATCCAAGTCAATCATCATTATATAGTTTGGAAATGAACTAATCTAAAAAGGCGAATTCAGTGATCAACCAAACAAATCCGATAAACACTATAAGGTAAACGTGATCCTGCCAAGAACCATCAAGAACTGTCAACTACAACGGTTCTCATCATTTTTTAATCATAAAAAATCCATCAATCAGGTAACATTCTACCCATCATTCAAAAATGAACAACTATGTCAATCTCAGTAACTCTTAACAATTAAACAATAATATTAATGAATTAAAAAGCTTGGGGTTTAGCACTTTACCTTCTAATGCGATCATCATGCCATAAGAGGTAAATAAAATTGGAGTGCCGGTCACCATAGTACATGATAAAAACTGCAGAAGCAATCCAAAGAAAATTTTCCACAACCCGAAGCCAGGTCCTGGTCCTTGGAAAGGCTGGCGATTGAGGAGGTGGTCTTGAACATGCGTCATCCTCAAGGTCATCGCCACTCGAAGCATAGCCCTGGCTATGCCTCTGCCTCATGTATCCACCCCCAACTGGTGTTCCACCAGACATAAGTACAACCCAAATTTGGCCAAACAATTAACAAATTCCTAATCTCTCAAGGACATCAATTCTTCCCAGAAAAGAGTACGCAGTAAAGATTTCTATGTTTTTTTTTTAAACTCCTAAAAAGATTATCCACAAACTAAGCTCAAATATGAATGATCATACAATGTCAAGTATGAAACAGTATCTGTATCAATATATCAGAGAAAATTGAATCAGCAACCATAGAATTCACTCAGGGCCAAAACCAGAAATCGATAATTATCTCAAACCCAAAACCAACATACCCACCAAACCACAAGATCATATTAGAATCAAAATCCCAAGAGCCACACCAAAAATCAAATTTCTCAATAGCCCACATCAAATTTCGAGTTTCGCACAAAACCCATATCAAGTAATCCGACATTTCCACGAATCAAAATAGAAAAACAAGCATTTTCTCAACAAACCCATCTAGCGACTCGCATGGCCTGTACAACTCCAATGGCTCACTATTCTCGAAATCCACTTACTGAATCGAATTCTCTAAATACCCACAAAATCAGACTCCTCGGTCTTTCAGATTGCAGTCATTAATAAGCAATCAATGAAAAGAAGAATCAGTTATAATAATAAAGAGGCTGCGTAATAAATGAAACAACACAAGAAGGGGTTTTGAGTATTTGCGGGGCTGCGTCTTCTGATGGTGACAAGAGGGATCTTCTAAGAGTGTAAACAGACCTTAAAAACACAAAGATTTGCAGGTGGGGGTGGGTACTCCCATATTCGTTCCTTGTACCTCGAGAATGTCTCGATTGCAAATTTGGAGCCTACTTCATTCTTTTTGAATTTATACCTATTTTTATGTACCTATGTTGTAGTATCTTTTAACTGTTTCCAATCTATTTACTCTTTAATATCTTAGTTTTAACTATTATACAAACCATCACACTTAAAAAAAAATCACGTAGTAGACATAAAAACCTTTATATAAAGCTGACAATTTTCACATCCAACGTTCTATAATATTACATAGTAGCAAACTATAACTTATTATTAAATTATTATATCACGTATCAATGATAACATGTCACTATTATAAAAATTCATACCAATACAACTTATGAAAAAAAAAATTTGGTTTAGTTCGAAAGTATTTTACTTTTTCAGTTAGTTTTGTCTGATTGTCTTGTCTAATTCTTCAAATTGCTTAATGTTTTTCTTTTCATGTTGATTTAACCTAATCAATTATGACAGTGTGATAAGGAGCAATATTTTATTTACCAAATATTTCTATCAATACTATATCTTAAATGATGTGACCTAATTTTTATATGTTCAATGACAGATATAATGTTACATTATTTTAGTAAAAAATTATTTTATCGATGAGATAAGAGAATCTGACTAAATGATGTATGGGGATAAGCACGAAAAGTGAAATAGAATACAAATTTTAATACTATGCCCATGTCTTTTGTGCTTGGCACATGCCGGTGGTCACCATTGTGCACCACTATTGTTTATCAATGCATCATTCATCCCAACTTAGACCCACCCAAAAAGTGGAATGTACTTTTTAATTAGGGGGCTGGCTGTAACGTGCAAGTAATGGACATGTGTCATTGAAAATGAGAATTTTATTATTAAATCATGATATTATGTGATAATAATGATATAATAAAAAAAAAGATATTTACGGTCAAGAGTAGCAAGAAGCAACTAAGAATCGATGACTAAATTAAAAATTTAGGTGAACCATGAAAACACACCTTTTAGTTTAGTTAGGGTTAAATGTACTTTTATTAAATCGAGTTCAAATCCAACCTAACGTGCATAATTTGTTGAGTTTTATTTTTGATTTAGTGTAACCTAACATTTTCTTATTTTGGCCTATATTAAATGATATCATAGTTTGTTTTCCGTGAGGGAGAGAGGTTTACTTAGCTTAGCTTCTTTCCTAAAAAAACTTCTTCACTCCAACGCAACTTATAAGACCATTCCTATTGACTCACAATGAATGAAACATATTGAAACGAAACCTACCTTATTTGCACCTTGGAAGGACAATGCTATACATAATTTGAAAAATGTTTGAAAATGTTTTTTTTTCTATTATTTTCTATCGCATTTGGGGTGTCGCACTTGACATTGTTATCTATACCAGTCTACTTAAATCTTGTCGGATGCTACTTCTATATGAACCGATAATTATTGTCTATTATGGTGTAGACATACGTCTTGAAACTTGAGAGGATACGCCAAAGAAAGATAGAGAAGAGATGAGATAGATTCATCCGTATCGTATCCACGTATTCTTTCCAAGAGCCAACTAAATTGATTGGACCTGGCTAAATTTATGGCAGATGATAATGATAAGCTTTTTGGCTAGTCTAAGAGTACTAGTCAAACCAAGTATAATTGGATTTTAGATTGTGCCTTGAAATCAAGTTCAATTCCTAAACAAAAAATGACTACAGAACTCAAACATCATTTACAAAATAATTATTTCTCAATAAAATTGTCAATTATCTGTATTATCAACTATAAAATCCCTAATTACAACTCTCCAAAAAAAAGTTTTTGAAAAAAAATAGAGAGCAAATTATATATAGCCTGATGTTATCTAAATATATGTTTAGGGCTTTTGATCTTTACATTGGCTAGGGGTGTAACTTTGGCGGGTTGAGAGGTCAATTCTAAACCAATTCTAGGTATATAATCTTTAACTTTAATTCTAACCCTACCTCAACTCGAGTACTGTCCGGTTTAATTCGGGCGGCATTGGGTTGAATTCGAGTTACTTAATTCAAGCTGATTTTGAATTAAAAATCGAGTTGGACTTGAATTACTTAATTCAGGTTGATTTTTTGAAGTGTAGATTTAATTTTTTTAACTGTAGATCTATTTTTTTTAATGATCTGAGATGAAGTGAGAAGTACAGATGAAGAGAGAAAGAGTGAGAAAATGAGTGACGGATGAGAGAGGGAGGCTGAGAGTCTGAGAAGATTCAGATAAGTGACGATTGAGAGAGGAAGACTGAGAGAGGGATATGAGAGTGATAGAGGCACAGAGGTTTGAACTCTAAAGAGTGAAGATAAATACTAACGCTACTTAAATATATTTATATATTTATGTATATTCGGGTTGAACTCGACAACCCGAGACCTCAATCCTAAGTTTACACAAATTCAATTCGGATTGAAGTTTTTTATTCAGGCCCAACTCAAGTATTAAAAATTCTAACTCAAACCTTATTTTTTTTGGGTTGAATTCGAGTTAGCCCGCCAAATTGCATCCCTAACATTGTTAGACAAAAATATATTCTGCTTAATTGAACCACTACTAGAGTTGAGTCACATATTATTTTAATTTAATTAATTCACGAAACCAAATTAAAAATCTAACCAAACTTTATTCATCTTACAATTTAAACAAATAAGAACGAATCAAAACCGAACCAAACTTGAGCGGAACTCAAACTTCTTGAATTGTTTAATGGCCAAGACTGACCTGATTTGTTCCCTCTTATGATCATCACACAATTTGCAAATATTCAAAAAGTAAAGTGATGCAAATATTCAAAAAGTGAAGTGATGGTCCTGATATGACTTAAGAAAGAAGGCCGTGATTGTCATTTACAAATAGTCCACGGATTCAATTTTCTGAAAAGTATAAATAAAACTAAAATTTTTCTAAAATTCCGATCCATTTCCATATAATTCATATTGCTAATAACCTTCACAACAACTAAATAATACAGTCTCCAAATAAAAAATATACTCTGATACCAATTCCATAAAACATATCACGTGTTTGCTATTAAGCTCAACATATTAAACATACTATTCATAACTATAATATGACTTAGTCGTAGACTTATTACATTTCACACACGTACAGGAAACTTATTATTAATTACATTCCTCAACAACTTTTATCAACACTTAGAATGAAAATCCTGAAAATTAATAGTTTAAATATCCACGAACTTTTCTGCCACCTTGTAATCTGAAAAAAGAGAAATAATGTAGAATGAGCGCTTCAACAACTTAGTAGAATAACTCAAATTCCAAATAAATGAGTTTGAAAATTACATAATTTGATATGATTGAGCAATATCAAAACAATACTTTTCATACATATGTAATAGAGCAGAAAACTTTGAAAGAAAGAATTCAAGTTGAAAAATAATAAAACAATCATAACATCAATATAGTGTTGCATTGGTGGACGATCATCCTAATAGTGGTCAATACAAATATATGATCAAACCTTTGGGGGACTTTCACCCCGAGGAAGACACGCTCCCTAGTAATAATTTAGTACCCAAGTCCAAAGATCAACTGGACCACCCCGAAAGTTACAAATTCAATGAGAAATCCTATACAACCTCAACCTAGCTCCGCCACACCACCGTTGCACAATTACATTTCAATCAAAAGGATCCCGGAGTTTCATTCAAGACAAACAATACAAGAAATACGACTATTGTGGTCATTTGTGGGAACCACACTCAAAACCCCTGATCTGGGTCCAAATCCCAGCCTTCAAAACATCCAATCATATATTTCAAACCTTGCTAAAGTATCATAAATAATATATGAAATAATTTAGAAACAAGTTTGAAAAATATCGTCTGTTTCAGAATTGAGAAACTGTACCAGTCTCGATATTTTGATTTGAAATAGCCTAAATTGAAATGATGTTATTTTTTTAATGAAATTTCATACACATACTCAATTAACCTACCTAAGAATGAATATAAAATTTATTTAGTAAAAATCCCTCAAAAATCGGGTCAAATTGGTCCCGGAGAACAAAATAGACATTTTACACCACCTACTGATTCGGGTATTGGATTAATCTCAAATTTTATTGAGACTTCTGCACGAACATTTTGCTACCGACCATAGGTCCATCGAACAACATATGCGCCCTCATTCGCTGTTGGGGTATTTAGTGGTCCTTTTGGTCCATTTCATCTTCTTCTTAAAGAAACCCTAGGTTCCCCACTTTCTGTT